TGTAAGGCCCAAGAGCCGCTCCAGGCAGAAGGTTACAAAGAAATATGCACGTTTTATAGGTACATGTGAGGAAGATAACGATTAACCCTAGAATTGAACAGGTTAAGTCTTTAGTCATCGGGGAAGCATTTGCATGGGAGTCGGTTCCGCAAAGCAGCAGCTCGGGGAAAGAAGCCTATCGGCTGTAACTTACATCCCACAAATAGGAAACGAAAGGAACGAGAGTGCTTCTTTACAAGATGAGAGGTATGGTAGGTTTTAGCCTTGAAGAGATAGAACGGATGGAACGTTTTAATTTTAAGTATGAAGCAGCCGAGGCGAATTGGGATTCACAACTAGGTACCTGGGATCAACGTCATTTGGAGACCGTCGGAGTAGACCGAGTGAACACAGGCCTCAATGTATTACGAACTAGGAACGACTTGCAAGGTTATGCGCTGTATACTTAGCCGTATTGCACATATTTGGCTGTGATGCATGTGCGTGGTATACACTTATTAGATTTGGGATAATGATGGCCGTATATTTGTATCCAAGTGTTACTTTGTTAGCCTATTGTTCTTTCACTCTCTCTTTTTCTCAAACACACACACACACACACACACACACTCTCTCTCTCTCTCTCTCTCTCTCTCTCTCTCTCTCTCAATAATAATAATAATAATAGATTAACAGAATGTGTGGAATGAAGACTGAGACTGTACCAATAGTAATCCGAGCTCTGGGCCTTGTGAGAAAAAAAAGGACAATTTTATAAACAGTTTCCCAGATAACATCAACATACAAGTTGCCCAGAAGATCACCCTACTCGGAACATCCAATATACTAAGAAAAGTGCTATGAATTAAATGACAATTCTCCTATAAGTCCTAAAGATCATAATTTTGACACGGCTCTACAGGATACAAAGCAGGAAACGTAATATACACAAATAAAAATAATAATAATAATAATAATAATAATAATAATAATACAGACACTAAACCAACAATAAATTCATGTTTTTTTTTGTTTGTTTTGAGTGTTTTAGATGCTAGCATATAAGCCCGCACTGATTATTTAATATTGAAATATGAAAATTCAAACTATATAATTAATTTAAAAGAATAATATTAGTTCATGAGTAATTTATAATTTCTTAGCTCCATTTTTTAAACAAATAATCTTACAAAAACAAACTGAAAACTTGTGTCTACTCACAAGAAAATATATCAATCATCGCAAATTGTTTTTTTTTTAATTTTATTTTTATTTTTTGAAAATGTATACCATGTCTTCAGTTTTTCTATAAAGTGTATTGATTGTCATTTTAATATAAAATGTATCGAATATCATTTTACTATAAAAACGTATTACTGGTCATTTTAGTATAAAAATGTATTTTTAAACTTTTTCAGTGTTTTGATATTTGTTTGCGGTTCGCTACTTGCACATAGATGTGACCATCCCGCTAACAACTGCTTCCATCCCGGTTCATGGTGAACCTAGGAACAACAGCAGTTAAGAGGTAGTTGCATGCTCAAAATAAAAGAATGTGAGTGAATAATGAAATAAACCAAACGAAATGAAAGAATGGATATTTATTTTATATACATACAATTATGGCACAAGGTCGAAAAGGGGTAATGTGTTGAGGCTGGTCTTCACTATCTTATAACTACCTAATCGGATTCACGACCCATTCACTCGTTACAATTTCCTCAATCACCATAAAAACTCATCTGTCGTCAATCAATCCTCCGTACATTATAATACCAGATCATCTCAGGGGAGGGGCTATAAGAACGCATCCCAATGAGATGATAAATATTATTTACATTTTATATACAAGAATCGGTTGAATGTTCATGAAAGGGGAGGGGTGAACCGCAAAACAAAGCAAAAATAAGCATATCTGATGTTAGTAGGACCCGTCCATCCCTTCGAAAAAGAAAAACTGCTGTATTCTGCCCTTGGACAAAATCAAATGGCTAAAGGAAAGTGAAATTAAAAGCAAGTACTTAGAAGGGGATCTTCTTATTCTATGTGCCGTCTCCCTTCAGGAATTTTACGATCATGATAATAAACAGTTTTCTGTGCTCCTATATGACAATGAAAGCTGGAATACATCGTCATTGATGAAGAGAAGACGTGATTGCTGCTTCCTTGATTGATTGTTTTTTACGGCTTATCAACCCATTGCAGGTTATTTAAAGCTAGGAAATATTTTTAGATTGTAAGATCTTCTTTTTGAGTAACCATAGTTTAGCGATACAAGTTTTACTTATTAACTTATAACTGGATGGAGAAGAAATGGATGCATACATTTCCCAATGAATCATTCTCATCTTCTCACATCTATGTATTAATTAGTAAGAATTGTATTACTAAATAATTATGATCTCCAAAAAAAATTCTTACAATCTACAAAAATAGTTTCTGACTTTAAAAAACCTGAAAAGGCCTGACAATACGTAGAAAATGAATGAATCAATCAATATGTCTAAGTGTAATGAAATGATCAATACGTTTACATATATAGGGTGCCTCAAAATCTCTACACATTTGAAAGCTTTCTGAAAAAATAATGCAAGAAACTAAAAACAAACCATACCTAATTTAAATAATATATATGAACACTATTAATTATAAATTTATGCTCTCAAGAAATTGTCACTGTCATTAGGATTTTGACATTACTATCTATATTTCTGAGATGAGGTATTATATACACTATATACATTATTCGGACTATTGTTCTCATCTTTGTTACTATAATTATCACAACATTTCGGCAGATTTACGCATTGGCCTTCTTCAGCTGGTTGGAATGTCGAACAGAACACTTTATTTCGCTCGCTGGAGTAGACTGTTCTAGTCCCTCGTGCCATGTCTAATGGATGTCAGTTATCAGTTATCTCCTGCTTAATTCCCCTTTCCAAGATCTTCATTGCCTTAACCAGGTATTGAACTCACAAATCTTTCGGTCCTGTCAGTAAAGGACACATGGATAAAAGCATCCATTAGACATGGCACGTGGAACTAGAACAGTCTACTCCAACGAGCGCAATAAAAGGTTCAGTTCGACATTCCGACCACCTGAAGAAGGCCGGAGCGTACCTCGGCCGGAACGTTGTGATAAATATGGCATCAAAGATGAGGACAATAGTCAGAATAATATAAATAGATTGTGTCATGTTTTTAAATTGATGCCCGTCATGATCTTGATAATGCTGAAAATTCGAGGCATTTGAATCACAAGTAGCACTCAATATTTGAATAGGTTTCTTGAACTTCTGAGAAAAATTCAACTCATCTTTTCTTACATCACAAGACGCCGTTGATATCCGTTGTCTTCCGGAACGGTTCTTTTGTACATCGTGTACAATACCCTGATCTTCAAACTTACCTTTAATCCGCGAGATTGTAAGCCGCGTGGGTGGATCTGAATGAAACCTCCTCTTCGAAACCTTCTTTGAACTTCAACTGCATTTTCATACTTCCAGCAGCATTTCAGGATGTATTTTCATATTTCAAAGCTAAACATGGACAACATTAATAATGCTAACGTGTAAATATGAAAATAAAGCAAGTCGATTCGAGCTATACACCGCAAAAGCGTATATACACATTTTGAAACACTCAGTAAATAATTAACTACATATATATATATATATATATATATATATATATATATATATATATATATATATTAAGACATTTTTATGTTTATACATTCTTTTTATAGATACACATATTTAAGTAAATGCTATGTTTATGATAAACAGTATTAAACAACACTTATCGGCCTTAAGATCCGAGAAATCTTCACAGAAAATATTCGTCCTCCGACAAGATTCGAACCTGTATCCGTCATTTAGCTTACATACCTTAACCGATTAAGCCACAGAGAAGCGTCGGATTAGCAAGGACGAATATATATATATATATATATATATATATATATATATATATAATGAGATCACTGTTAGATTGGCTGACCGTTTACATCTTGCTCTCGCTTCTTGATGATTCAGACAAGCAGATTGAAAATTGCTGAGTCCACAAAAACACGTTGATCTCCATTCTACCCGCTCCAGGGCTAAGCACTCAAGGGTGTTACGTGGTATATTGACTGCTGACAAGTTGCTTTTCAGCTTGTCTTTGTATCTTAGCCATGGGCGTCCTACATTCCTGTAGCCCTGATCTAACTGGCTGTACATTAGGATCTTGTGTATCCTGCCATCAGACATTCTCAAGACATGACCATTCCACCGTAACTGAGACTGTATGATAAAAGTCTCGATTCCTCCAATATTACACCTGTAAAACAGGTCTACTTTAGATGCCCTATCTTGAAGCTTAACTCCACAGATTGCACGTAGACAGCTTTTATGGAAAACATCTAGCAGGCGTATATGGTACCTGTATTGAGTCCACGACTCTCAGCCATACAAAAGGATGGCAAGTACAAAAGCTCTGTAAACCCGAATTTTCGTATCCAGTCGAATACCCCGCTCATTCCACAAGCGATGGCGAAGTTTGCCGAAAGCACTGGTAGCATTAGCAATCCGATGAATGATTTCATCATCTAAAGTTCCACTGTAATTGGCTTTGCTACCAAGATAGGTGAAAGACTTGACATAATTCAAGGCTTCGTCTTCTAATCTTAATGGTCTCTCTTGAAATTTGTAGACTGGTGGTTTTTGTGTCTCACCACAGAATTGTTTCGGAGTAGGACAAGGTTGGTGCACAAGTGTATGACCAAATGCTTTACATGCAGCAGAGAATCGATTTATTAGATTTTGGGCCTCCACAAAAGATGTCGCTACATGAGCCGCATCATCAGCAAACATAATATATATATATATATATATATATATATATATATATATATATATATATATATATTCTTAAATGGTTTGTATATATCGACATGGGGTTAAAGTAATAAAACGCCCATGATAAATGTCAGTTTCACATCTTAATACGATATTCACTGGATTACTAAAATCGCAGGAATGCTTCTTTCTACCTCCTCTTCCAGTAATCACTCAGTCAGGTAAATATAAAATATCTCTTGAATTGAAGAGTAAAACTGTTTTCTAATCCGGTGTTAATTCCTATATCGTCAACCTATCTATCTATCTATCTATCTATCTATCTATCTATCTATCTATCTCTTCTATTCCCCTTCCTTCCTTCCTTCCTTCCTTCCTTCCTTCCTTCCTTCCTTTCTATCTATCTATCTATGTAAGTCTGTTCATATCTATCTATCTATCTATCTATCTATCTATTCTATTCCCCCTCCTTCCTATCTATCTATCTATCTATCTATCTATCTATTTAAAAATATTCCTATCTATCTATCTATCTATCTATCTATCTATCTATCTATCTATCTATCTGTCTGTGTCAGTCTATTCATATCTAAGTCTGTTCATATCTTTCTATCTATCTATTTATGAAATCTATCTCTGTTCATATCTATCTATCTATCTATCTATCTATCTATCTATCTATCTATCTCGTCCTGTTCTTATCTATCTCGTCCTGTTCCTATCTATCTATCTATCTATCTATCTATCTCAATCTGTTCATATCTAAGTCTGTTCATATTTATCTATCTATCCATGTATCTATCTCAGTCTGTTCATATCTATCTATCTATCTATCTATCTATCTATCTATCTATCTATCTATCTCTGTTCATATCTATCTATCTATCTCAGTCTATTCATATCTATCTATCTATCTATCTATCTATCTATCTATCTATCTATCTGAAGGTGTACACGTATGTATATATGTATAGCATGATAAGTTTGGCTAATGCTGCGATGGAAATCCTTAGATATTTTTTCAATGTAAACATCATTACTTTCTGTTCCTACCACTTCGCAGAAACCATAAGGATTCGTGGCATCATAAAAAACGGAAAAGAGCCGAAAAGAAATATCAGGTTGTATAATAATTTCATACAAAAACATCAATCAGGCTTATGAATAAAAAGGTTCCGCATTGTAAATCAAAACTAAAGACTTTGAAACAGTGGTGCACACTTATGCACACACACATACATACACACACACACACACACACACATATATATATATATATATATATATATATATATATATATATATATATATACATTCACATATATGACGTCACACATTATAAAATGGACAAAGCCCGACAATTATTTTAAGACATTTCATATTATATTTTATATTTACGGCCTGAATTTCTCGGATATTCAGGCCGGTAAATGTTGTTTAATACTGTTTATTATAAACAGAGCATTTACTTAAATATTTGCATCTATAAAAAGAATGTATAAACATAAAATATCTTAAAATACTCACACAGACACACAACCACACGCATATATATATATATATATATATATATATATATATATATATATATATGTCCACATAGTTTTAAGATAATGACACGAGTCTGTTTTTAATAAAATATTTAAATCCCAATTATCCCTTTACTAAGTCGAATCTATCCATTTATAATTTACTTCTTTTCTTTATTCAAGGGCGAATATTCAGAGAGAATTTCATGA